ATTCTGGATAAACACCCACTGTCTGTGCTTTTCTCATTAAAGGGCCACTTCCTCCCTTGTAAGGTAGAGAGTTATCCATCTCTTCTGTTCCCTTTAACGTCCTGTGAGGACAGTGGCATTGGGGCCACATTTCTTCCTCTGAAATGATCACTCGTGGCCACCATGTGTGAGAAGCACTCATTCCCAGCACTAGGCTAGAGGTCCCATCACTTTGTAACTCCATCATCCTTGTAGTACCCTTGCTAAGTACATGTTGTGCTCACTCTAGGGACGGTGAACTTAAAAGAGGGGAGCTTAAATCCTTTGGTAATGCACAGCAGGGTTTGGGAGGTTTCTAAGGCTACCTGTCCTCCAGTCCCCCTGTTGGTTGCTTGCAGCATTTCACCTACAGTGCTCTCCTGAGGACCAGTAGCAGTCTGAGCGTTCTTTCCTCTCCAACCTCTGTCTCTTAAACAAAGCACCTCTAGTTTAGTTTTTTTCAAGTTTCCTTTTTTTTTTTTTTTGATTAGTATATGTTTGCAATACATAATAACTCAATTTATCTTGACTCCTTGGTACATATTCGTATCACATCTAAATCATTTTTCTCTTGCCGCTTCCTGTCCTCCTGTCTCTCCCCATTCACTGATTCCCTTCCCATCTCAAAAAGTCTGCCTTCTTGCTTTCTGTTGTAATTGGAATTGAAAAATGCAATTTTAAAAGTTCAATTTTTTTCTTTTAAAGATGGGCAACTTCTGCGAACTTCCTCTTGCTGAGCACACAACCAACCCCCCTCCCCCAGCCCTGGAGCAGTGACAGAATATAGATGCTGCTCCAGAACTACGAAGCCCATTTCCCTTTCTGTAAGAATGGGAGCAATGAGCTTAAGATAGTTGTGGGTAATAAAGCAAGTGTGGAGCTCTTCACTGCCTCCCCCTCCTTTGTTCCTTACTATAAAAGACCCCACCTGTACATGTGAGGAGGTGATCTGAGATGAATGGACCACTTCAGCTCCTTGGACTTAGCTTTGAGTGGACCCTTTTTCCTTTTAACCAAAATAAATAGCATCCTTTTATTTGGCCATCAGTGAGTGAGCGAATAAACTTGAATATAGGAACCTAAGTAGCAGTAACACTATCATTTATCTTTTATTTTGCTCTTTAAATTATTTATATTTTAAGTTTGTCATATAAGAGAAAATATGTGACTTTTAATCTTCCCTGTCTGATTTATTTCATTTAGCATTATGGTCTTAAAATACATCCAGTTTTCCACAGATGACTCAAATTTATCCTGTTTATAGTTGAGTAGTACTTTGTTGTATATATCCCACATCTTGTTTATCCATTCATCTTTGGATGGGCCTAGGCCACTTGCAAGATTTAGCTGTAATGAGTTATGCTGATACAAACAACCTCCAATTCCTGAGACCACCATTCAAAGCCCTGAAGATTTCTACAGTTCTGTTTCCAACCCTGGCCTTTACCCAGCATCTGCTCTAGCACATCAGGGCTTCCAGGTGTCTCATAGAGCCCAAACTCCTAATTCAGTGGTTTCCCCCCACCTTCTTGGGCAGTGCCTCATTACTCTCTCATAGAATTCAATTTTACTTTATGTTTCTAACTTGGTTTGTCCATGCATTTCTTTCTCCCACTCCAGAAGTCTTCAGTGGCAGCATCTATTGGAATTACCTTGAGTTGGCTGAGCTCCTCCTCAAAGCCTCTGAATCAGTAGATCTGGGTGGAGACTAAGAGTTCCCCTTCAGAGTGTCCCCCAGGATGCTGCACTGTTGTTTTTCACTCCACATTTGCTCTCCACAAGTCTCTTAGTGCTTTGCTCCTGGAATGATAGGCAACAGACACCCTGCCTTTGAGAATACCATGGTCTATGTAGTAGTTCTCAAGCTCTACTGTACCTCATAATCACCTGGGGAGCTTTAAAAAGATTATATGCCTGGCTCCACCTTGGAGCAATTGATCAAAATCTCTGAAGTGGGGCCTGGTATTTATCCTTTGTTAGCTCCCCAGAGGACACTAATGGGAAGCCAAGCAGGGCTGAGAACTGCTGGTCCAGGAAAGGACCGTCTTGTAAACAGAAAATCACTGCTGGAATCAGCAGAATATTACTCAGGGAAGCAGTTGGGCCAAGTCAGAGAGAAAGGCTTGAGCAGGGTGTTAGCAGCCCTGGGTTTTAGTTCTTTCTCTGTTTTGTCATCCCAGGAAAGAGTCTCAGCCTCTCTGATCTCATTTTTGAGCTCAGGAGTGTGGTGGGTCTGGCAGATCTCTGAGTGTGGATTCCCCGTCAGCATGGATGAGCCTAATGATGTGAGAACGAGTCCTTGTTGCACTACACATACTGCTAAACTTAATGGCTGGCACATTGCTGCAAATAACAAAGGCAAGATAAAAATACAATGCATCTAGCTGTTTGGAGGCACTGGTGCCAGATGGGAACTCAGGCCAGAAGGCCTTGAATCTCATATCATCCACCTTGCCTTGCAGAAATAGTGTGGTTTAGCCAATGGAGTATTTTTTGCCTACAATAGTGGTTCTCAAACTGGTTCTTTGGCCAGCGTGCAACAGCATCCCCTGTGAACTTGTTAGAAATGCAAATTATTAAGCCCCACCCAAACCTACTGAATCAGAAGTGCTGTGGGTGGTTGTAAGGTACCTGTCGTATGGGTTAGAGAAATGTTCTCCTATGTGTATCACTCTTCCGTGTCCCATCCCAACTGAGCATGAGAAACTGACATAAATTGCAAGGTCTATGACTCTGTAGAATATTTAGTTTCCCAGTTTTGTTTGAAAGGGAAGAGGTGGGCAAGTGGTTGGCAGCATGCACTTGTTCTATTCATTGGTAACATTTGTTTAAATCATGTATGTTTTTTTCTATTTCCTTTGAATTTGGAATTGAAAATCCTTTACTTAACAAAGAGAAGGGAGGAGGCATTGCTACCACAGATGGTGACTAAGATTGTTATTTTTCTATAAATCTGTTGATGTCCAAGTTCACTCTTGTGTTGGCCTTATTGCTGCAGTTCCAGTGTTGGAGAAAAGTCATTATTTAGATGTGTGTGAATCTGAGCAAAGAAAGTGCTAGAAGGTTCCGTGGAAATGTAAATCAGTGGCTGGATCATGATCTTGGTTGGGAAAAGGGTGGGTCGAAAGGCTTTGGAGGAGGGTGGCATCATGTCAAAGCAGTTAAAAGGAAAGGTCCTCTTTACTTTGAGCACAAGAGGTCTGCCTATGAGGATTCCAGGTCTGCTTTTATGAATATGAGACTCTAAGAAGTGTTGCAATTGTGAGCTCTGGGGAACGATGTCACCTTGATCTACCAATTTAATGCTGTCAGCAGTCAAAGAGCTAAACGTCTTCATACGCTTCTCAATCTACTTTCATTTGATCACCCAAAGAGGTGCCTGGGACAATAGTCGTGTGATGTGGCATTGATGTGATATATATTTGCTTCAACTGAAAGGAACAGGTACCTTTGAAAAGCTCAAAACTAGGAGAGGATCTCATTCCCCTCTAGTTTCCTGGTACCCTGAAGAAGTAAAAATAGGGTTTTGTATCAGTCTCACTCAGTTTGACTGCAGTGTTCCCAGATGACAATCATCTCTGAAGCTCCCAAACCCATAATTGTCTATTGAACCATCATGTCTGCTTGATATCAGGCAGGCTCCAGAAAACCTTCAGCATCATATCCTGCTTCAGTACCTGTTTATTTGCAAAGCTGTCTTTGGATTTTATCTCAAGAACGACTGAATGAAACCCAAACATTGCGTACAGACATTTTTTTTGCTGCCTGCTCTATTTAATTGATGCCTGGCTGGTCTCCCCTACCCCCTTCCAATTTAGCTCTGGAAACATCTGTCTTTTTTATCCACCAATAGAGTCTCAAAAGGGTAACAAACCTGTTAGATAAAATATCAAAGTTATGAATTTTGATTTAATAAATGTGCATTTGAGAGATGATTCATGGCGTGTATGATAGCTTTCAATTGCTTTCTCAAACAGTTCATGCTTCATTTCATTAAGAGCTTCAGTCAGTGCCAGCTGATTAATTATCACAGCACCCGTCATCTTTTGTTTAGAAGGCACGTGCACAGGATCTGTCTGACACTTGGCCATATAGAAATTTATTCAAAATGCAAATAAAAATGTTTTGAAACAGATAGTTGCATAAATGGTTTCAGTATTTGACCAGAATGATATTGGGAAGCATAAAAATGCCAACTGGGTATGTCCAAGGGTCACAACCTGTCTTCAATAAGCTCATAATCTAGGGGCTGCAAACCTTTCCGTGTAAATGATTCCACTCTGAGTAATTGAATTTGGATGGCTTTATGGGCTTATGGAACGGAGCCCCAAGTGGATCATAAAGTGTGTGACACTGAACAAGGTGAGTTTGCTCTCTAGGACTCTGTTTCTCCTGTTTCAGATCTTCTAAGACTCTGTTTTGTCTTTCAAGTCCCGGCAAGCATAAATAGTTCCTGATCCTAATTCTCTAAGTGTTATGCTTGTCTTTCACCTCAGTTTCAATGAAAAGGCTATAATGTAAAAACACAGAGGCTCAGTGAAGACAGTCACACTATTCTGTAGAAATCTTCATGGCAGAAGGCTGTTGATCTTCACGCACTTTGATTTTCATAGTGTTGCCATAATTACAAACGTCAAAGGGAAGATCTTATTTATGGATGAAACTTGGCTTCTCATAGGCGAAAATGAGTAGTCACTTCATGTGTAGTATCTGAAAGTTTTGAAAAATGTCTTATTTCATAAACAACAGGAAGTATTTTTTAAACAAATTGAGTAGGAAACTACTTACCAGTGTCCCTTGAGAACAACACATGTGTTGTTTGATCTTGGCAAAATGGACCAGTTCCACAGTTGGCCTCTTTGGTCACAAATGGCTTACTGTAATGACTGTGTCCCAAGAGTCATCAAAGCAGGACACCAGGCTCAGGGGAGCTCTCACTGGGATGTTTCATCCTCTCATTACCTTTATTTTGCTAAAAGCAGGTTTTCATGACTGACAAGGGCAGACTGGAAGTGGAGGAGCATCTGCTGTAGGGCATCGCAAGGGTTTGAGCAAGATTTGTGGACAGCTTGAAAAGAAATGCCCAGAGGTCATTGGTCCTGGTGGCAGAGAAGCCTGGTAAGTCAGCTGTTTCTGAGACTGACAAGCTTCTAAGATCCCCAAGTCTATTTAAAAGTGCTTTCAGCTCTGCCTGGGGGGCATTTTAGGGTATCATAGTTACTTTTCTCTATTGCTGGGAAAAAATACCTGACACCCAAAGTTAAAGTGGAAAGGTTTGTTTAGCTCACAGTCTGTAGAGTCTGTAATCTGCTGGTTCCAACGCAGGATGGGACATGGCCGAGGGTAACAGTTCATGGCACAGAAGACAGCAAAAGCAACAATAGCAAAAAAAAGGGGAAACAAGCCTCTTTCTGCCCCTTTTATCTTATCCAGTATACACAGACTAGAGCGGTGGCAATCCAATCAGGGGACTGCTCCAACAATCATCCACAGTTAATCCCAGCACCCTTAATCCCAACATTGAACCATGAGTCAATCACAAACTCTAGGTTCAGCTACCTCTGAAAAAGCCCTATCTAAAAGTGCATGAGGCTTAGTGGGGATATCTAAACACAAACCATAGCATAGGCCAAGGGAAAACACTTTTCTTCCCAGAGGTAAGGTAGGCAAGCATCCTGGGCATGAGGAGATCATGTGACTTAGTCATCCATGAACATGAATCTGGTATCATCACTTTGGTGGCTGACTTTAGGTAAAGGCTCCTTGACTTTCCTTGTCAGTAAGATGACTATCTTATCTGGCAGTGGTTTTGCTTCTTGGGAATTGAATACATTAAAGATAACTAAGGGCTGGCCCCATGACCAGTAATTATGAATTATGAGTCATATTACTTTCTTACCTGTGTGTCCCTGTCCCCATTACTGTACACATGCAAGCACTTTCTAAGTTACAAAGTATGTATACATCCCAGGTCTCCTCTGAATCCCAGAGATTCTCTGAGGGAGAGTGTGAGCTACAGTATACATATAAGGGAGGTCCAACCAACAGGACAGAAGCTCAGTCTCCAGTTGCCTGACTACTAGTAGGTCAGTTGTCTGCCTACATCCCAACCAGGGAGACCCACTGAACAGTCAGCAAAGCAAACAGTTCCCTAACTGGCAGACTGGGCCCCAGTTCCGAATGGAGAAATAATGAATCACCTTAGAATTCAACTTCATTATTTTTTTCTGTCAAAATATTTTATGGCATGCACAATTCTGAACTACAATTAGAAGAAATATTTGACTATAGGGAGATATTGTAAAAAGACAAAAATTTCCCTTTAATTCAATCACCCAGAGATAATTGAAGAAAATATTTGGGTATTTCTTTCATACTCTTTTTCCTGTGTTTTCATGGTAGGTTGTGGGTATATGATATAAATATCATGCTGTACACATATAGTTTTATAATTTGTAAAGTAGAGTCAATTTAACACATGGTCTTATATTCTTTGTTTAAATTTTAAACTTTACAACAGTTGTGAGACCCATATATAAACCCTGTGGCTCTTCATGCAGATCCTGAAATTTTTAACACTTTACCTCATTCCATCATATGTCTTTCTCTCTTGCTGTCCCACTGTGTGCATGCATATGTGCACACATATTATTTTTACTCATTCTGAGTTAACCAAGAGTAAGGAGTTTATGCAAAATTCCATGCTCCTGAAAAACTGCACTACGCATTTTCGCAAAATGAAAATACACTAGAATACACTTTGATATGTCTTATTCTCTTCCTGTCTTCCATGGCTTTGCATTTCTACACGGGACAGGACTTTAGTTCTATAGGGTGGGCCAGACCTCAGTCTGCCCAATGTATCTCATGATTAGAATGAAGCTGTCCATCTCTGGTAGAGAGGATGCTACTCTCTCAGTGCTCACCAGGAGAGACAAAATGTCAACCTACCTTATGACACCAACTGTGATCACCTGCTCAAGTTGCTGTATTCCAGACTTCTTCACCACAAAGCCACAAATTTGCATCATTTTGTATACCATAAATATATGCAAAAGAAAACTTAGGGAGGTTCTTTTTGGAGATTCTCTGAAACTATACCAATAACCTACACCTTAGAAAACCTCTACCCCCATCCTGGCATCTGTTGATACTCTATGCTCAATTAACCACCTCTGTGATGCTTGGCAAATGGTGGTTGTCTTGGTTACTTTTCTCTCATTGCTGGGACAAAATACCTGATGCCCAAAATTAAGGAAGGAAAGGTTTATTTTGCGTACAGTTTGTGGAGGTTTTCAGTCCATACTTGGCAGGTTACAAGGCAGAGTGGCACATGGCAGAGGGCTACAGCTCATGGCGGCAGAACACAGCAAAAGCAACAAGCACTAAAAGGGAGGAATGGCCTCAAGCAGCCTCTTTCTCTCCCTTACATATGCAAACTATCCACCCCAGGGCGGGTGTAGCTCTCACACCCATAATCAATCAAACTCTAAAAGCCTGTCCCATGACCGCATGAGGCTTTGCGGGGACACACAGACACAAACTATAACAGTGGTTTTCTACTTTCATAATTTTCTTACATTTATTAGGTGGTGCTCTACTGTAAGGAAGAGCTTTTCCTTTTCTCCTATGTATTTGTTACTTGTTTGTCAACATAGACATATGAGTTCACATTTTACTAACTGGGTTAAATATATCCCTTTTATTATGCGTTCTGATGGTCAAATTTTCCCAAAGTTGGGCAGTATGAGGCCCTTCAACCTGGCTCCTTATAGTTCATCATTTTTTGAATGCTTTCTCACTTTCTGGCATAGCACATATTTCCAGGCTTCTGTTGTATCTTTCTTATACCAGACCTGAAATCAGATATTTCTCTAGGAAATCTGGTTCTACTTAGTAGATAATAGTATTTAGAAACCAAGATCATGGCAATGGGTGTATTCATAGCTGCTGGGTATCATTACATCTAGCTCCACTCTTTGATTTAGGAAATCTAGGTATAATTCTCTCTAATCATCTATGTATGTATGTATGTATGTATGTATCTATCTATGTATCTATCCACACACAATAGCTATATCTGTGCTCTGTACGCTAGCTAGTGACATTTATGCTGGGCACTTCTTTGTTGTGGAGATTTTCCTTGTAGGATATTTAGTACCATCTCTTGCTTTACCCTCTATATACTAGAAGTAGCTACCTCCTCTCCACTTGTTACAAGTCAAAATATCTCCAGACATTATCAGTTGTCTCATGAGGAGAAAAAAATAGCACTCCTGGCCAATAACCCTTAATATATATTTCCATATTTATTTATGTATATATTTTAGATACATGAATTCACACCAAGACTTCTACTTGCAGCCTAGCACCTTAGTACAGTCAATTCTAAGCTCCCTTTCCATGCGTTTTTGACCTTGCCTTGGGACTCACTTCTCCAGGCCCTCAAACCTTGCACCACCATCTGCCCAGCTCCTACCATCTTTTCCATGTTTGCACAGACACATGGGAGGGGAAGGCCTCGACTCTTATAATTGCTTTCATCCATGTTGGTTTTCTCTGCTGATTTTTAAACTCCATGAAAGTAGGAAGCAAGTCTGTCTTGTTTATATCTAACTTCCAGTGTTTGGAATAGTACACTCAATACTGTCGGATGGAGGGCTAGATGAATGGATGCTGTTTTTCAGTTCTAGGGCAGTATGCAAACATCACCTTCAAGCACATGAGTGCCTCATACCCATTTTCCAGACAGGAGAGGTTTAGGCTGAGCTCAACCCTCCTCACACTGCCAAGAGCCAAATAGCTCTTGGCCTGAATCCCACCCTAAGCTATTGTGCCCTACCGTACAATATGTCCTTTCTGACCATACCAGGTTTTTCTCATTTTGCAGGGTTTAAAAGCTGAATTTCCAGTTGCCAGCAAGTGTTTATTTGTGTCTCTGTCTGACAACAGGGAAGCTTTTTTCTGCGTCCCTTCCTGCTTGACCTCATCCTTAATAATCCCACCATCACACTGCTCCTGCTCCCGCTATCACCCCTCCCTAGAAGTCGGTGATATTTGCTCTTCTTTGCAGAGCCTATCTTGGGTAGACTGCTGATGTGGAAAAAGACTCTCTGGCACCCTGAAGGGTTTTCAAATACAGCTCTTTTATTGAAGTTCAAAGTCATCTGACTAGTACCAATGGTGATTGTTAACTGAAAAGAGGGAGAAGGGATGCTGGGCTGCTGCTCCATTCCCCCTTTTATCAGAGCCTCATGCAATGGCTTCCCTTGCAGGTGAGGCAAATATTTCTGAGCAGTGCAGAGACACTTACCTTGCACCTACCACCCACAGTTAGAGCATACTGTGGGCTGCTGGATTTCTAAAGACCAAAGGCTGTGGAATCAACTACAATAGTCCAGAAAACAAGCAGCTCATGAAGAAGGCAGTCTTGACCTGAAATTCTGTAGTCTTATTTCAAGACCTCAGTTCTTTTCCTGTTGGCTGTGTGGCCTTTGGGAAGTCTCAGCACCTCCCCAGTTTTCTTCTGCAAAATAAGGTGGAGAGTAGGGAAATGCAAAGGGCACTTCGAGCTTTGAGGTGCAATGATTGTCCGAGGAGCCCTTCTTGTTGCAGGAAACTGCAAGGGGAGAGAGGATGTAGTACAGGAGATCAGGATCCTGGTCTTCTCTGTGACAAGCCTGACCTTGCAGCTGTGTCTGTCTTGCTGTCCCTTTTAGCTCATCCTTTGGAGGTGCCCAGCACAGAGAAGGCCTGTGATAAATGTATTCACCACATTTGCCCTTGCTGGATGAACCAATCTCTTGAAACTCATAGGGCGCCTGGGTCTTTACCTATAAAAGGGGGCTAATGACTTGCACACTTATGATGTATGACAAGGATTGAGATGGTGTAGGATGAGTGTGTTCTTAGAAGTGGCATGTGGTGGGTACTCAGTGTTGAGTTGCCATTTCATTGCTTGGTGCAGACTGTCTGTTTTGGGGGGAGCTCACCTGCTTTTTCATCAGCTGGGTTCACTGGGTTTAGCCCTGGATGGTGAGCAGAGCTGAGACCTCTATATAGGTGTGTGGCATGCACTGTCAAACCTTACAGCAGCCCCAAGAGGCAGAAAAATTATT